GCCGCCCACAAGGGGGGTGTGGGGGCGCCTGAGGGGGGGGGGGGGGGCTGCTCAGAATGGAATTTTAGGTGGGCAGTTCAGGCATTTATTAACCCACTAACTTTGCAGTCAAAGGGTGCCTGAGATCCATTGGCCTGGGCCTCAGCTATGTGGATTTTCTGCAGATTGATCAATCCACCCTTTATACATTGTTGCTCAGAGGAAAATGTGTATTCCTACCAGTTTGTGAAGGTCTCATCTGGTAGTGTCTAATATGCTCTGCTATACCAGCACTGTAACCCATTCATCTGCTCCAAGACCAGGAGACATTAAACATGTGAGCCACATACATTTTCCACTGACCTCCAATATGTAAAAGGGGCACCAGTGTAATGGCCACCCATCAAACAACACAATAAATAACACACCTTTAAGCCAGCCCTATCCACTTCCTAAACATCAGTACATGGGTGTTATTAATATCTCTCTAATCACAAAAGTCCAAAGAAAAACACACCAGCCTACATGTAAACACAATGAACATAAATAAAATAAAATGGGCATTTTTGTACTGGTCACCAGCACATAAAGGGGACATGGCTGCACTAAACAATGGTGAAAAAATACATTTTTCATTGAGCAGCACCGATTTTCTAAAGGGACATTAACTCTAGCCACCAGCGTAAAGGATGCTATTATCAAGGGGGTTTTACAGGCCTCTAGCCAGCAGGCAACATAAGCTACTGGTCAATGGTCCCCAATACAAAGTATTACCTAGAGAGGCTGCAGGAGAGCCCATCAGAGTGAGCATATTGCAATTAGATTGTGATTTGTAGTTATGCCCCCTGAAAAATGTGTCTAGGCTTTAGACTATAGATCTAAACTTTAGATTTATGCTAGAAACTACTGGTTCCGTGCACACAGTTGACCACAGGCACATAAAGCAATAATTAACTTGGCTCCACTTTTACATATGTGATGGCAAGTAAATACCTTCTTTATTAAAGCTATCCCGTAGTTTGCTGTAGTTTTCGGAACAGGGCTGTTCATGCCAAAAAGACATGAGAATCCTAAAACTGTCTGAAAAGGAATGTTTTATACAGATTTTATCTTTATTTGTTTTGGTAATACATTTTAAAATATTATGAAGGGAATTTATCAAAACGGGAGCAGACAAAATCTGGAGCAGTTGTGCATGGCAACCAATCAGCTTCTATCTTTAATTTTCAAATCTTAACTGAACAAACTGAAGGGAGAAGCCGATTTGTTGCCATGCACAGCCGCTCCAGATTTTGTCTGCTCTAAGAGATTAGGTTTTTTGAGACAGATGCCAAACTCATCCACAACCTAAACTCTATGCATCTACTCTGGTAGGATGGAAATACAGATAGTTGGATGGCATGGCTTACTTAAGCTTTAATGTCACCATTCCTTAATACACTTAAAACCTTCAAATGCCTACTGTCCTTGCCTTTATTAATTCATATAACCACAACCACAAGTCCCGCTTGGGAAATGTCTAACTGCCAATTTACCTATGGTAACAACAGAATTGGTGGCAGAACAGATATAGATCAGTAGTAGCCCAGTAGTAGCCTTATATTATATGTTCCTCTTGAAATCATAATATAGGTACAAAAAAGTTGGTCCTATAAAATATCTTTCTAGTATGCATGAAAAGTATATCTCCACAATCTGATTTTATTTTTTTCTAGTTTTGACATTGCTGTCCTTCGGCTGGCCACTGACGCTAACCTGAACACCGCTGTACAGCTTGCTCAGCTTCCCAATGATGGAGTCGTCCTGGCCAACAACCATCCTTGTATTGTTTCAGGATGGGGTTACACTGACAGTAAGTTGGGAATCATGAACAAAGCAGAGGACCAGCATGGAGAGGAATATCTCCTGTACCACTATCTAGCAAGATCACTCGTTTTGTACAAGTGATCTTGGCAATGTCGTCGAGATCCCTTGTATGCAACCTGCAGGTCTGTCCCCCCTGCCCCTGCCGGCTACCTCTCTCCCCGCCAGCTGCCTCTCTCTGGAGATGGAGTTCCTCTCTTTAGGATGGAGAGCGGGGAGCAGAGCGGAGAACGTACGTTCTCCACTCTGCTCCGTGTAAACACTGAGACGGGAGAGCTGCACTCACATCCTTCCCATCTCAGCTGTCACAGGAGGGCCAGTACAATGCTGTGCTCAAACTCCTGTATTGGAGGTGACAGGTTCAATAAAGAGAATGGGGCGTGTTAGCTCCTGTGTGATAACAATAAAGTTAGGTGAAAAAAATAAAATAAAAATGATTTTTTTTAATTAACTAAATAATAAAACAAACAAAAATAAAAAAGGTAAAAAAATAATAAGAAATAATAATTAAAATTAAAAAATGTAAAACATAATAAAATAAAACAATTCTAAACAATTAAAAAGTAAAAGATAATAAGATAAATAAAAATGTATAAAAGTAAAAATAAATAAAGAAAACAATTTAAAAACATGAAAACCAACCCTGCCCCCCCTGCCATTGCCATTCTCCATTGGGGTGCAGGGGGTTTGGCGGGATGGGGGGCTCATTTGAGGAACCTGGTCTTGGGGCAGCAGAGAGAGTAAATCCGGCCCTTGGGACATACCTGTCCACTGTTATGATTATTTCACTTCTGAAAACTCATCTCCTTAACAGAATTGCATCACATAGATTTAGCCTATATTCAGTCTGTGCTGATGAACCATGCAGTGTGAAGGGCAGCATTCATTCCAGCGACTGAGAGCAACAAGGAAGGCATCTGCATCACCTAACTGCATGATTCAATGTAGGTGAATTACTAAATCAGTTTACTTTACTAAGTGAATATTCTCTAAGCTTAATGAATATGGTGAAGCTGCATTCAGTTTAAATATCCAAGTATATGCAAAAAAAAAAAAACCCCAGGACATTTGCTTCTACATGACAGCCCATTAGAAAGGCCCAGCATTCAGGCAGATAGGTGAAAAAAAAAGTTGCCCCAGGTATGTGCCTGCACATTATACCTTCCAGCAGCATTTTTTATGTTTTGTTGAAGTGCTAATTCACTTTAGGAAAAGTTATGATGACTTGTGCAGTCATTAATGGATACTAGTATTTCCATGGTTTGTGAGCTGTCATTGCTGTTTGTGTTTTACCATTTACCAAGGTTTCCATCTGGCAGCCTTCGTGTTAATGTTATTGTGTTATAAGGAATGATGTAATAATATTTCGAATAATGTCTAGTAATAATTAACTTATAATTAGCATATATTCTGTAGATTATAAAGACTCTGACTTCAGTTACAATAATATATTTCAAGGGGGCTCAGGTCTTGTGCATTTATATAGTCACTGAACTTCTGGATAAATCTTAATGTCTTTAAAACCCACTGTAGGGCATACCATACAAGGTTTTCCTCGGGTTCTTAAGATTTTCAATACATTATATGACAACTGATAACCATACATTTTTAACAGCAAATGGATCAGTGTCTGCAGTCCTTCAGGAGGCTCCTCTGCCTGTGGTATCACATGACATCTGCTCCACCAACTCTTATTGGGGAAGAACTGTTAAGACCACAATGGTGTGCGGTGGAGGAAACGGAATCCACTCTGGATGCTTTGTAAGATCATTTTTCTTGTTTTCTCCAAAACTTTTTAATACACAAAGCAAAGCAGTGACAGAAAGAACACAGATACTTCTGGGTTGATTTACCTTAACTGTTACATAATACTGTAATCTAGGTCAGCCTTTGTCAACCAGGGTGCCATTGCACCCAGGGTAATCTTCTCAAAATTAGAGACATCTCCTTAGGGATGTCTCTAATTTTCACAAAGCATAATGCCCTTTAATGATGCAGACGGGTTGGCTGCCAGCACCATGGAAACTAATGACGCTAATTCAGGGAGGGTAGAATCCATTCAGACAAGTTTCTATGTGAAAGGGGGGGACTTTGGTGTTAAAGGAACTATCTCTCCAGTCAAGCTCTGTGGAGTGAGAGTGATCGGACACACCTTGTGTTGTGTCCGATCACTCAGGAATCATCAGGATGGCAAGTGGGGGGGGGGATCCACCCCCCTTACCCGGGTAGATGCCATCTCTGAGTATAAGGCTTTCTTTCAGGATAGCAGGCTGGTCATTCTGAAACAAAGCCTTATACTGAGATCCCTCAGCGGCCATCCTGACTATTCCTGGAACACAGAGGGGCATCACAAGGTGTATGTGAGCATTCTCACTCCATTAACTTGATTGGGGAGATACAGTAGTCAGGTAGAGGGACCAAGTTGATGCCGTTTTCTGTGTTACAGTATAGCTATAATTTCTGAAATATAAACTACCACTCATGGAATCCTTCTTTGGAGACAATATGCCCTATGGTTGCTATAGATCAGTGATGGCAAACCTTTTTGAGCCCGAGTGCCCACACTGGAGATCTAAACCAACTTATGTATCTCAAGGTGCCAACCTTGCAATTAGACCTGAATACTGAAAATATATTTTAGAAAAACACTTCATATAACGGTTTGAATTAAATGTCTTGTCTTCAAAGAAAAATACAATACAAGAGGTTTTAACTACACAGAACAGTGATGTGCAGTGGAGTCCGTTCTCAGTGAGGCATTTCCCCCTGCCCTCCCCAGCCCTGCCCCAGCCCGCCTCCGCCCCACCCCCAACCCGGTCACCGAGTTGTGTGGAGGAGGGAGGGGGGACAGAGAAGGGAGGAGACAGGGAGGAGCCAGTGAGACATCGAGATCAGTGTTTGTTTGTTTTTTCTTTTTTTTGATTGGACAGCTAGGACCGATGGCGCTTTGCCATTGGTCCAAGCCACCCACAGAGCTCAAGCCTCTAACAGCAAGTAGAGGCTTTTGGAGTGAAGTGAGAATCCAACAATGACTTATTAAATAAGTGGTATAAAAATATATATGAATATCTCTAAGTGAACATCTTATAATGTGAAATAAAAATTGCTGAAGTGATATGTGAATAAACAAACCAAAAATCAACAATGTAAATCGACTAATAAAATTGCTTAAATATAAATAAACAAATAAATCTTCAATAAACCGTGTGTCCGTGATTTTTTCTCTGATTTTTTCTGTATTACAGTGTGCATATAACTGCGTCTATCATCATCTGTGATGTGCTGATAGATATGCAGTGGTGTATCATAAACGTGTCCTAAACTTTGAGGTTAAATAGTGTCCAAAAGTACTCCAATCTAAAAGAGGCAAAAACTTGAATGTGTATATCCAAGATGATCGTATCCTGGGGGATGATATGTCGGAGAAGCGATGGGTCCCCGTAGGGCTTACACTCACCAGATGCCGGGAGGGAGTCAGCTTTCTCTTCCACCGTGGTGGCTGAAAGGAGATGGTCTTTGCTCCGTCCTTCCGTGGGATCCTGCAGTATACTTTCGGTCCTGGTCCCAAAAAGAGATGTCGGTATCCCGATAGTAACAATCCCCTGGTGATGGTAAGATGCCCTTTGGATTGCTTCCGGGAGTACGTCCTAATTTTAGTCTCTCCGAGCGTGGGTGTTTTGGATCCAAGAGGAGTTTTAGAGGAGGAGAGAGAGAGCAGGCAAAGGGCTCATAGTGCATTAAAAGTTTAAACTTTATTGAGTCATGGCATATGACACGGTGGAAGAGAAAGCTGACTCCCTCCCGGCATCTGGTGAGTGTAAGCCCTACGGGGACCCATCGCTTCTCCGACACATCATCCCCCCAGGATACGATCATCTTGGATATACACATTCAAGTTTTTGCCTCTTTTAGATTGGAGTACTTTTGGACACTATTTAACCTCAAAGTTTAGGACACGTTTATGATACACCACTGCATATCTATCAGCACATCACAGATGATGATAGACGCAGTTATATGTACACTGTAATACAGAAAAAATCAGAGAAAAAATCACGGACACACGGTTTATGGAAGATTTATTGGTTTATTTATATTTAAGCAATTTTATTAGTCGATTTACATTGTTGATTTTTGGTTTGTTTATTCACATATCACTTCAGCAATTTTTATTTCACATTATAAGATGTTCACTTAGAGATATTCATATATATTTTTATACCACTTATTTAATAAGTCATTGTTGGATTCTCACTTCACTCCAGGAGACCCATAGCGCTCACTATTCTAAAACCATTTTGTGAGGCTTATCTGGCCTTAGTTTCAGCAGCTTGCGGTTAACCCTTACTCTCTGTGAAATCTCCCCCTTGGGGTCTGTTTCGTAGCGCAGAACACTCAACCTTTCAAGTAGAGGCTTTTGCAGCTCTTGCCTCACTATGTTAGGTTACACAAGCAGTGGGGAAGCCCGATGTTGTGTAACCTAACTTAGTTGTCAAAAGCCGGATGCAGCACCACCTGTATATACCAGGCAGCGCTCCATCCATGACAGGTTACACAACAGGGAGGCTTTCCCTTCTGTGTAACCTGATAGAAGCCGATCTGAATGGAGAAAAAGCTGCCATCTTCAGATTTGAAGCTGACAACTTTTTCCTCCATAGTACTAGGTGAGGCTCTGCCGCACCTGCCTCCCATGACCGAACATCCCTGCTACAGAGTAACATGTTCCTAATGAGTGAAGTGTTCCCTTGCAGTGTGCTACTAAGGTACATGTCATGAAGCACACTGCAAGGGAACACGTCACTCATTAGCACACTACAGAGTGACATATACCTTTGTAGTGTGCTAATGGGTGACTTGCTTCCTTGCAGTGTATTGTTGTGTGCAGTAGCACACAGCCGAACGAGCCCAGCAGAGTGAGCGGGGACTGGTCAGTAGTGGCAGCGCACTGGGATTGGCGGAGGGTTGCCATCGCAATAGACTGCTGACCCGGATCGGGAGCCGCTCCACTGGCGGTTTTCAGCTTACTGGCCGGCCGACGGGCCCCCCCCCCCATTTTAATGTGGGGCAGGTCCCCCCCCGGCGGCCGGCGGGCCTCCCATCTCTGAGCCGGGAGTGTTGGATGAACTGATGATCCAACACTCCCAGCGCAGAGATGGGGGGCCCGCTGGCCGCTGGATACCGATCCTGTGCTGGGGCCCCCAAGGCCGAGGCCCCGGTGCGCCTGCACCTGCTGCACTGTCGTTAGTTCCGCCACTGGTTGTGTGAGAGGTTTCCTTCCATTGTACTACTAAGGTACATGTCACAGTGGCACAATGCAAGGAAACATGCCACTCATTAGCACACTATAAAGGTACAGTGGCGTGTTCCCTTGTTGTGTGCTACTGTGTGACATGTACCTTAGTAGCACACTGCAAGGGAATATATCACTTTTTTAGTGTGCTAATGATCAACAAGTGACCTTGCAGTGTGCTGAGTGACATGTACCTCCGTAGTGTGCTAATGAGCAACATTTTTCCTTGCAGTGGGCTACTGAGTGACATGTATTTTAGTAGCACACTGCAAGGGTACATGCCCCTTGTCATTTGATCTGTCATCAGTGGGGCTGTGTAGGTTCTCAGGTGGCCTATACGGGCTGCCAGGTGGTCTGTGTCAGGTGGTCTGGTCTGTATGAGCTTTCAGGTGGGCTCTGCGTGCTCTCAGGTGGTCTGTACCGGCTCTTAGGGGGGCTGTGCCACTCTGAGGTGGTCTGTGCAGGCTTTCAGATGGGCTCTGTTGGCTCTCAGATAGTCTGTATGTGCTGTCAGGTGGTCTGTATTGGCTCTTAGTCTTGCTGTGTGGCTCTCAGGGTGGCTGTGAGGTTCTCAGGGTGGCTGTGTAGCTCTCAGGGGGGCTGTGTGGGCTCTCAGGAGGGCTGTGCAGCACTCAGGTGTGTTGTGTGCGCTCTCAGGGGGGCTATGCGTGCTCTCACGGACGCTGTGTGAGCTCTCAGAGGCGCTGTGTGACTCTCAGATGTTTTATTAAAGGGCTCTCAGGAGGGCTGTGCAGGCTCTCAGGTGGTCTGTACGGGCTCTTAGGGGAGCTGTGTGGATGGTTTTTTAAAGGGCTCTCAGGAGGGCTTTGCGGATTCTCAGGTGGTCTGTACGGGCTCTCAAGTGGGCCTTGCTGGCTCTCAGGTGGTCTGTACAGGCTGTCAGATGGTCTGTATGGGCTCTCAGGGGGGCTGTGTGGCTCTCAGGGGGGCTGTATGGGTCTCACCAGGTTCCGGAGTCTCAAGGGCAGATGCAGCTTTCTAATTAGACAGCCGCTCGCTCTTCGCTAGGGCCCCCAGAGGCCACAGCGAGCAGACGTCGAATATGCCTGATTAGAGGGACCCAGCTACCAGATTGTGGTCCGCCTGGATTGCCATCGGGCAATCCGGGAGGGTCGGGCCTATTTTAAGGGAGCTCCACATGCCCCTGGGCTCGCATGTTAATCCGGCCCTGGGCTCGCATGCCAGCAGAGAGGGCCCCGAGTAGCAGTTGTGGCACATGTGCCATAGGTTCGCCATCGCTGCTATAGATCTATCAGGCTGTATTGATCCCCTGTGTGGACCCCTCCAGGCAGTTAGAGGGCTCTCCTTGGATGTACCTCCGGTTTAAGCAGTAGTCCACATACAGAAAAACTCATCGGAGGTTCCTGAAGAAGCATATGATGTGAACGCAACGAACCGAAAGGGAACTAAAAAAAGGCAATAAAGAGACAAAAAAATGTAAGTGCTAAATGCACTAAATGGTGTTGTTATGTAACTATTCTCTATGATGGGTGTGAGAATTAGCTCCAAACAGGAGCCTATTAAGGACGCATCCACTCGCTGAAATCTTCATCTAAGGGCTCCTTGTCCACTTTTATTAAATGAAAGTTCACAAAAACAATGCAATTACCGTTGCAGGGGTTCTTTAGCATCACTTGGCAACACATGCACATCCAGCCTCCTGGCTTTGCATTAGCAGGACCGTTGCTCCGGCCTCAGACCTCAAGACAATCTAAGTCTTGTGCTAATCTGCACATTTGTTTTTGCAACCCTCAGCTCTCTGCTGCACTGGACTCCACTGTGACTCCTCGGTGGAGTTTTCCTGTCTCCCAGGTGGAGCCCTGAACCCTTCCCAACACCTTTATTTTAAATGCTGCGCGCACCTGTGCCATCAGTAAGCGCTGGACACTATCAAAATATGGACTCAGAAATTGAGAGTACACAGTGGCATTGCCACGCACTGCCGCATGGGATATCTGAATATGAAAGTTGGTAATGTGGATACAACAACAATGACTTGATTTTATGATGTTGAACATATTATGGATGAATTTTACATTTTCTATAAATAAACATTACTTTTTATGAACTGAGGTTGTGCAATAAATAGCACCTAAAAAAACGTTAGTCAGTTCACCTGTTGTATAGCTTGAGTAGGGGTGTGGTGCTATCTTTACCTTTGTACCCCCTAAAATAAAATAATATAATCATATAATCCTGTGAGTCTTTCTGAGCTGTGATCAGATCATTGAACAATATAGGTTAGGTTATTTTGTCCACGTTGGACAACTTTAGACCTGTTCTGCTATGTGTTTACTTGTGTGTGGAGTGAAGATGGGTATTTCATCTGGCGTAAATATTTTGAATACTAAACGGACTGAAAAAGAAACTTGGCTAAACAATGGCCCTGTCTGCCCATATTTGCACCTGTTAGACAAAAATTGTATTTCATCCTGCACAATCTGCAAGCTCTCCATGAGAGCCAAAAAGATGGTTTACTTTGATTGCGGTATGTAGCTTGTTGTTTCCATATATGCCAAGTGCAAGGTCACGTAAGCTAACACCCAGGTCCGGGTATGTAGTGAGGTTGTTTTTACCTACAGCAGCCGCCTTTCCCTTAAAGCTAGAATGCCTACCGGTACTCAGATGCCCCCATGACTTGGACTATATACTCTGGCCATGGATGTCGCTACAGACCCGCAGAGTAAACGTATCATAGGGCAATGGAAAGTGAAAGCTGAAGAGGAATCCAAGAACAAAGGGAAAGGTCAGGGCCAGCAGCAGAGTATCCAGTAAACGTAGCAGGAGGTCAGGGCAGGAAGCAGACAAGCGAAAGTCCGAGAAAGGTTTACGAGGTCAATTCCAGAAGCAAAACAAAATAGAGAGCACTTGTTCAGCCAGGAGACGCTCTCATGACACTGGGAACAGGCTGATGATTTTTAAATAGAGCGCCTCCAAGGACAATCCCAGAGAGGGGCGTGAGGCACAGGCAGACTGCACAGCTGAGAGGTAATTTCTGCAGCCAGCACACATGCTAAAACATGCTTGCTATCTGCGTAGTAACTCACTGTATCTGTTAGTAGTTAATATTTCAATCATTCATTTCCTATTGATCAGCCTAAACAATGTCTTCTTCCAGGGTGACTCTGGTGGCCCTCTCAACTGTCCTGTCGGCAATGGCTATGAAGTTCATGGTGTGACTAGCTTCGTGTCCTCCCTGGGATGCAATGCCTATCTCAAGCCAACAGTATTCACCAGAGTGTCTTCTTACATCGGATGGATCAATGATGTAAGTTTTTTCTTGTAATGAAGGCTGTTCTGAGAAACACACAAATGATTGTAAAAAAAACAGTGTATTTGTAAGGACCGTGTCCCCATAGCAATCATGACTTTAATGGCAGCTTGCTAGCAACAGGATGGCTAACAGAGCTCTTACCTGCTCCTATAACATCACTCCCTTAATGAATGCTTTAATTTTCAATCCCTAAGATTCAATGGTCGAGCCCCACCATGCACAGGATGGTTATTGTTAAATGATCCTAACACCAGCAGCTATGTCAAACAATATTGCAACCTTATTTTTATTGCTTTTTATTTCTTCAAAAAGATATTTTTGAACACAGCTAATAAAATCTGGTTTTATATTGGGTTGCCTGCTCAGTAATCTTATGGGAGGGAGGGCAACATAAGTAATTGGTCTTGAAATAAAAAGAAAGGTCAGGACTGGTGTTACTAGCTTGGCAATGTTCACTAGTAGCCCATATTACAGCTAGGCTAAGGCTAGGCATTGCAGAACTACATGCTCTGAAATTCTGTGATTTTTTTTAATGCTATGCATTCATATAGCACAGCAGGAAAGGTCAGGAGAATGTACATTACTTTTCTAACCTTTAGGGAGGTAAAATAATTAATGGACATGTTTTACGTATGTATTTAGCTATCTAGTTGCTGCTGACCTCTGAATGCAGTCTGCTATGGGGCCTGTCCTTAAATACTTTCCTAAGTCTATGCTTCAGTAGTCTGGTGGTCTTTTTACACATATGCCCTAAAAATCTAAAGTGCAATAAAATACAGTATGCTAATGTTGCACTGTGTTTTTTTTAGGTGTTGACCCTAAATCTTTTATAAATATATATTTTAGTTACATTTGTTCTATTGCATGAAAATTGTGTGAAGAGAAACCTCTGACCAACTTGTATTTTTTTTTTTTTAGGCCATTAATGCCAACTAAGCAGTAGCAGAAATATACTAAGGAAGTGAATCTGATGTTCCAATACAGATTGAAGAACATTGCTGGGATCTGTCTTAATACATGATCATGAATAAATATCACTTTCTCAGTTCCACGTTTGTTAACTCATTATTATTTTTTATTTATTTAAACAGTGTTAGTATATAATGCAGCGTTTTACAGATCTGTTTTCCAGATATATACATGTATTTACATTAGACATTACATTAGTTTATTATCCTTACCCCAGCTATACAGTCACGCGTCAATGTCATTTTCAAAGCTTAAAGTAGAACTGAAGCCTATTTTTTTCATATATACATACAAAACAGAAGACTACAAATCTCAGCAATACATTCTACAGCAATGCAGAATACCACCAGCTACAGAGGACTACAAATCTCAGCAATGCATTCTACAGCAATGCAGAATACCACCAGTTACAGAGGACTACAAATCTCAGCAATACATTCTACAGCAATGCAGAATACCACCAGCTACAGAGGATTACAAATCGCAGCCATCTATTATACAGCAATGCAGAATGATAAATTAATTTGCTACATACTCTGTGCTGCCACTCTGCTCCAGGATGCTGGCCTGATGTCCCGATAGGAGGGTTTCAGCAGGACAGAGGGAAGTTTACAGCAGGACTGATGGAAGATCTCAGCATAGGCAGATGGAGGATCTCAGCAGGGCAGATGGAAGATTGCAGTAGGGGCAGATGGAGGATCTCAGCAGGGCAGATGGAAGATCGCAGCAGGGAAGATGGAGAATCTCCACGTAGGCAGATGGAGGATCTCAACAGGGGCAAATGTAGAATCGCAGCAGGGCAGATGGAAGATTGCAGAAGGGAAGATGGAGGGTCTCAGGGGGGAGATGGAGGATTTCATGGGGCAGATGGAAGATCTTAGCAGAGGCAGATGGAGGATCTCAGCAGGACTGATGGAAGATTGCAGCAAGGCAGATGGAGGATCTCAGGGAGGAAGATGCAAGATCTCAGCAAGGGCAGATTTAGGATCTCTGCAGGGCAGATTGAGGATCTCTGCAGGACTGATGGAAGATTGCAGCAGGGCAGATGGAGGATCTCAGGGGGGCAGATGGAAGATTGCAGCAGGACAGAAGGGGGATCTCAGCAGAGGCAGATGGAAGATCACAGCAGGGCACATGGAAGATCTCAGCAGGGATAGATGGAGGATCTCTGCAGGGGTAGATGGAGGATCTCAGGGGGGCAGATGGAAGATAACAGAGGGGCAGATGGAAGATCTTGTCAGGGGTAGATGGAGGATCTCAGCGGGAGGATCTCAGGGGGGCAGATGGAACATCTGAGGAGGGCAGATGGAACATCTCAGGGGGCAGATGGAACATCTCGGTGGGGGGGGGCAGATGGAACTTCTCAGCAGAAGGTAGATGGAGGATCTCAGTGGGGCAGATGGAAGATCTCAGCAGGGGCAGATGGAAGATCTCAGCAGGGGCAGATAGAGGATCTCAGGGGCAGATGGAAGATCTAAGCAGGGGCAGATGGAGGATCTCAGGGGGCAGATTAACACAAGCAATACAGTGTACAAGCACCGCTGTGGTTTCCTAGAAGGCTGCTGTGAGGTTCCCAGGAAGCACAGGGACACAGACAGCAATAATAGCCTGACAGGAGCTCTAATCCCTCTCCACTCTATACAAAACTAAAAAAAGTTTGGGCACCTTAACTGAACAAGCTGAAGATAGAAGCTGATTTGTTACTATGCACGGCTGCTCCAGACTCTGTCTGCTCCAACTTTATTAAATCCCCCCCAACCACCACCACCACCACCACCACTATACTTCCAATAGTATTAAAGTTTAATTCCAGGTCCAGGTACACCCCCATGGAAATTGTTGACTTTTTCAACATATATGAGCAAACACACATTAGATCTTCATGTATACAGTGTCTACAGATAAACTAGATACGTGAGTAAAAACACAAGGAATTTTTCCTTTTCAATCATTTATTCAACAAAAATCTAAATGGATGTAATGGCCTCAGAAGCTGGTATTCCTCCCTTTAGCGGAGATGTCTTCTTGAGGGTGTTTGCATAACTGCCCACCAGTCTCTGACATCAAGTGGGTGAACTTTTTAACCACTCCTCCATGCCAAATTTCTTCAGCTGCAAGATGTTTGTGGGTTTCCTTGCTTTCTGTTTATTTTAAATCCCCCCCCCCCCCCCC